CAGCACTCCCTCCCCCATCACACACACCCAGGACCCCCCAAGTCCCCCCACTCACATAGTTGTCCCGCGCAGACCAGGCCGGGTAGAGCTGCGAGTGCAGCTGCCGCTCCTTGCGCGCCAGCTCGTAGTACTTGGCCTGTTCCTCTCGGGACAGCGAGTGCCACTGGGAATGGGGATGGGAATGGGCAATGGGCCACCCAGCCACGGAGCCCCCCAGCCATGGAGCCACCTAACAGTGGGATCCACCCAGCCATGGGCACCTCCAGACATCAACAGTGCAACCCCACCCAGGGCAGGTCACACCAACATGTCCAGGTGGGTCTTGGAAGCCTCCAGAGGAGACTCCACAGCCTCTCTGGGCAGCCTGTCCCAGTGTCACCCTCACAGGACACAAGTTCTTCCTCATGTTGAGGTGGAACTTCCTGTGTTCCACTTTGTGTCCATTGCCCCTTGTCCTGTCACAGGCACCACTGAGAAGAGCCTGGACCTTCCCTGACACCCCCCTTCAGATAGACATTTATAGACATTAATAAGGTCCCCTTTCAGTCTTCTCCTCTCCAGACTGAACAGCCCCAGGTCTCTCAGCCTTTCCCCATCAGACAGATGTTCCAGTCCTTTCATCATCCTTGTAGCCTCTGTTGGACTCTCTCCAGTAAATCCCTGTCCCTCTGGAACTGGGGAGCCCAGAACTGGACACAGTTCTCCAGGTGGGGTCTCACCAGGGCAGAGCAGAGGAGGAGCAGAACCTCCCTCAACCTGCTGGACACACTCATTTTAATGCACCCCAGGATTCCATGGGCCTTCTTGGCCACCAGGACACATTGCTGTCCTGTGGGCAACTTGTTGTCCACCAAGACTCCAAGGTCCTTCTCCAGGGAGCTGCTTCCCAGCAGGTTCAGCTCCCAGCCTGTCCTGGTTCCTGGTGTTGCTCCTCCCCAGGTGCAGGACTCTCCTTATTCTTGTAGAACCTCATGAGGTTCAACCTCCTTGCCCAGCTCTCCAGCCTGTCCAAAGCTTGCTGACTGGGACCCCGACACAGGATGGGGACTCCAAGCCATGCTGAGGACACCCCAATTGTGCCAGGGACCCCCAAACCAGGCTGGGGATCCCTGAGTCACATTGGGGACCCCAAAACTATGCTGGGGACCCCAAACCCACCCTGAGGACCCCAAGGACACCCTGCTGGCCACCATGGCCCTTCTAGCCAGCCCCACCTCATTGCCCCTCAGGTCCCCACAGGTTCTCCTGGGTGGTAATGTCCCTGAGCCATGGGGACAGGTGGAGAGCAGGGGGGTGACAGCCTTTTGGAGGCGCCCCCAAAGGCCATGAGGGAGTGTCCGTACCCGCCTGCCCAGGATCTGGTTGATGGCCGCGCTCTCCTTCAGCGTGCACTCGGCCACCACCTTGGCCCTCATCTCCTTCATGTAGAGCATGAAGGCGTTGAGGGGCTTCTTGATGTGGGGCTTCTTCTCTTCTTCCTTCTTCACCGAGACAGGGGACTTCCTGCAGCAAGTGGGACAGGGGATCAGGACCTGCTGGTGGCCACAGGGTTGTCCCTTCCCACGTCTCCAGGACTCACGAGTTGCCTCCAGGGCTGACGCCGGGTTGGGTGGGTTCCTGCTTGACGATGGGCGAGACGATGGTGGGGTGGGGGATGCCCGAGGGGTGCAGCCCGTGGGTGGGTGGTGGGACCATGTGCGGGGAGAAACGGCTGGACATCAAACTGCAGCAGAAGGAGTGGGGGGTGGGGGGCTCATCAGCTTCCCAGGGGCACCAGCTGCCCCACAGTTCCCACCCCAAACCTTCCCGAGAACCTTCTTGGTTGGGAAACCACTAGTCCCATCCCAGTTGGGGTCTGGTTTCCCACCAGATCCCACCCCAGCTTGTGCAGGAAGGACAGTCACACTGACCCAACTGAAGCCACATCCCTTGTGTCCTGAGTGTCCCTTTTCCCCCACCCGTGGGGCCACCCACAACCTCCTGGGCGTGGGATTTTTGGCCATGGAGGTCACCCAACCTGCTGGGCTGGTCTCCTGCTCCCCAGGAGTGGCACATCTGGGCCCAGGCCCACATTGTTCCCATGGAAAGGAGTCAAAATCCCTCTGCCAGTTCCGGGCCCCAGAAAGAAGGTCCCACATCCCCACCGAGACCCACCTGGACACAGAGGCGTTCATGGCCAGCGCAGGGTAGGGGTGCCGGAAGCCTCCAGGAGGGATGGAGTACACGGGCTGGCCCTGCCTGCCCCACAGGGTCAGGAGGGGCACCAGCCCTGCCCCACACCCAGGGGGCATGGCACCATCCCACCAAGGCCTCAGGGCCCAGAGGTGGGGACCCCCTCCTTGCACACCCCCCCGCCCCAGTCCCTGGGGTCCCACCAGGGTCATGGGATCAAGTGGGAGGGATGTGGGGCTGAGGGATGTGGGGGATCAGGGATGTGGGGCATCAGGGATGTAGGGATCAGGG